GTAGAAATAAGTTCATTTCTCAATTGATATCCATTATCATCATTTTCCAATGGTTTTGTTGACCGAAAAAGGTTCAACTTACGTACATAAACATATAAAGTTGTTTCTCGCATATTCAACGAGAGCATCGCACTAGATTTCTGTCAAAGAAAATGCACTTCTAAGACGTCTGCAACAATTGCAAATGACACTGCTGAATTGTAAGCCTTGTTGAGTGCTACAAGAGACAAATAAAAAAAAAAACTAACGCTAATGCTGCGTGTAATGATCTCTCTGAATGATAATTAGAAAGAGAATAAGCGAAGTAGAAAAAAAACAACTTTTCAAACGGATATTACGTTTTCAAGTACTGTTTTTTCAGTTTTTACAATACACTCAACACATGAGAGAATAGATACAGTAATTGCATTTCGACTTGAGCCGTATATTAAATATTTGTCCTGAGTTTTAGGTCAACAAATAATTATTTTGAGTTATTGCTTATTCATAGCTCACTATAATATCGAGATTCATGTAGATCAATTGATCACATCTTTTTTCTAAATGTTCAGTTTGACGAGAGAACTCCATCGACTGATTAAACACTTTGAGACTCATATTCCGACTACAAGTAGGACTTCGTGGGGTAAGGGGAGCTGTTAACGAATTTTTCCCCATGGGCCTTTAGGCCTGAGATATGAATGTTTCGAGTTTAAGAGCAGAAATATAGATAAATTGCTTATTGTGCCTGAATTACAATACTAATATATATCAAAAGAAAAACTAATTTTTTAAAATACTTATAAATTGAAGTATTTTACTTACTTTGTCCATAAATCATCCTGAGAATTGTGTAAAGATTGTTAGAAGTCTTTTATTTGCTGGGTTGACAGATGAAGAAACTAAAACATGTAATTGAATTATTAAAGCAACTGAACAACGAGTTGTTAGTTTTTAAAAAAGTTTTGAATATGTAAATATATGTTTGATCTGTTCGAATGAATTGTTACATATCATCCAGGATTGAGTAATCGATCTCGAGAAAATTTTCACCACAACTTGAGGGTGTGGGTGTGGGGTGTCGGTGTAAGGGTGTGAAGTGTGTGGGTGAGTGTGGGGTGTGGGTGTGGGAGTAGATTAAGGTGTGGGCATGGGTGTTATTCACTAGAATATTCATAGACATCCACATTCATAGACATCCACATTCATAGACATCCACATTCATAGACATCCACATTCATAGACATCCACATTCATAGACATCCACATTCATAGACATCCACATTCATACCCACCACACCCACACCCACACCCTCCTAGAGAAATAAATTATGGGAATTTGTTACTAAAGATGTCGATATCATGTTCATCACGATTACGAAATCCTTATGTACTTTAGCTTCTTAGTAAACCTCATGAATTGCAATCAATTGTACTAGACAGCATTTGTTTTCATATTCAATAGCGTACCTTCACCTCAGGCATAATTTTTGTTTGAATTTTTGATCGATTTGAATTCTTAGATTAAATAATATCATTATTTGCTGCTTTGATTTTGTGCCTCATTTATGAATCGTGTATTAAGAAAAAAAAACATTATTCTTCCTAGAAAACTAGAGTAGAGATCGTTTTATTTCTATTATATAAAAGTTAGTCTGCAATGATTTATTGTTAAATTTTTCGAGATGTGGAAAAAAGCCTTTAAACATATGATTATTCTTTGAAAAAATGCTTTTTTTCGAACAATTCTTCTTTTGTCTCTGAAATTACTGTATACGTTTTTGATAATGGCTCCAGTGCATTAATTAAATCAGGAATAAATCGATCTCCTTTTCTTAAATAGAAGTTCATAAAATTATCATAACGTTCTTGTGAGTTTTCAGCTGGAAATAAGTTTTCTTTGATTTTTCTCAAATGTTCAATTTCAGTATTGAATGTTTTCTTTTTCGTTTTTAAGAGTTTCTTTTCTAAATGATTTAATATTTTTAACATTTTGGATTTTTCTGTTCGAATCGGATCTTGTAATAATGGATCGATATTCTTACATTTGTCTAAAATTTGTGTGAACGATTGTTCAATTAAACCGATTTCCTCTTTTAGACTGATGTCATCATTTGAATGTTTAGTAACAAATGATGTTATAAGTTCATCGATAGGTAAGAATATATCAGATATTGAAATATGAAATTCTTTCATAAGTTCGAACGTATTATCATCAATTATCAATGCATTTTTTCTCAAAACTAACATCGGAAAATTCACTTTGTACGATTCGAACATCGATCGTAATTCGAACCAATAGGCAAGTTCATGTGGACCACCGATATAAGCGAGATTTGGAAGTAAGAACTCCTGATACAAGGGTCGGATTATAACATTTGGGCTAAATCGTTCCGGAAATGATTGTATCTCTTTCTGTAATTCTTCTTTTGTGAATGTGTATTTTTCATCTTTTGTTTTATACTTGTCTCCATCTGTAACAATTAATACACGATAATTATCAAGCAAATAAAAGAAATTAATTTCTCTTGATTTTGCTTGAACTTTATAATGCGTATGCATTTGCCGAATGATTTCATTCATATAGTAAAAACTCTGTTTTGTCAAAATGTCTTGCTCGATAATATTGGCAAAGATCTTTTTCAAATCATGATTATCAGCATCTAATATAATCAATCCTTCATCATGAAATAATTGATGTAATAAGTAACGTGTTGCTTCGGCTAAAGTGTTGTTTTTCAAATACGCATCTTCAATAATTGAAATTAATCGTAATGCATTTTCCGAACTACCGAGAATAAATTTGACTTCTTCAATAGTTTTTTGAATATTATGCGTAATATTGATACGTCCAACAGCACCTTGAACATGATTTTCCACATTCCAGATTATTGTTTTCTGTAACAAATTGATATGATTGATTTCAGCAAAATCATGATCTTCTGACGCCATCCAAAATAAGGGAACAACTTTCACTCTCGAATTTTCTTCGTTGATCTTTTTTGCTAAATTAATTGTAGTAATCACTTTATAGATGAGATAAAGTGGTCCCGTAAAAATGATCAATTGATGGCCCGTTGTTACGGTATAAGTATTTGAATTCATTAATAAATGAATATTGTGAATGACTTTTTCATTCTGCGGTAACTGCTTATGTTGTTTCTCAAGAACATCAACCAGAACTTTTCTGTTAATTCTTTCGTTTGATTTATCATCGATTACAGTTTGAAAGGAAGACATGTTCATTGAATATTTATAGTACGATCGAATTGTTTCTTTTTCTTTCAGGTAATGTAGAATAATTTTAGGAAATACTCCTGCAGCTTGTAAATCAACTTCAGTAATCGCCATGTGCTAATTTTCAAGTAAGTAATTCTTATCTACTTTGCATTAAGTCACTTATATACTTTAAATGTTCGCCTATTAATTGTCTATCTAAAAAATTCGTGCAATAAATGTATGAAGTGAAATAAGGATGAGTGATGATAGCTTAGAATGAACAAGGATTCGCTACTTGTACAGGCATTTGTCTATGTTTGCATCTATTTCACCAATAGGAAGAGGGAACACAATTAACTCGATTTAAGCTGATTAATTCCATGACGAACGAAAACAAGTTCCAATTAAAATTTGTTACAAAAGTTTAACAAACATTTGTGATGTATTCTGACGATTATCTAATATTATTACAGATGGTGAATATGGATATACTATAGACAGGTTGTGTGAAAGTCAACTAGTGCTAGCTGAATTGGCAAAGATCAATCGTCAATGATCATTGTTTGTCAAAGTAGATTTTAATTAAAAACTTTACTTTGCATATTCTTTATAGTAAATTGTCCTGTTCTTACACATGGTGTAGATAAAAGTCAGACTATATATCACAAATATTATATTGAAGATTGCCTTTAACTAATTACTTCATAGTAATGCTTGACTTGATACTTATCAACATGTTAATAATTACTTAATATAATAGGATACCAATATCAATGCTCCATTCGTCATTTTCGAAAGATCTTGCATCATGTGATTTTTGGTTCATATGATTATATCAAGCCGTAACTTCACTGACTAAACAAATGAAATATCATTGATTTGAGCAGCGTTCAATATAGTTAAACGCAATGCAAAATAAGAGTTTGAAAAAAAATATGGGACTAACTATTAGAAACTATGGAGCTTTCTATAAATAATCATAGCTAATCTATTTAAATACTTAATAAAATAAAACAAAAAAAAATCTCTTTGTTTTCATATTTTTCGTTAACGTGTTATTATTATTGATGAGTATACTTGTCAAAGCAATTTTGATGGAAAATATGAAGACTAAAATTCCTTAACTCTGTTGTCTTTGTATGTTCTCTATCAATAATATCATTATTCATATTGAGGATATATCAAATGTTTAAATACTACTTTTGAATCGATCATTACTATTCTACTAATTGCACAAACAGTGAATTGAAATACTAATGTACAATATATAACGTTACACTTTGTGTTAATCCATCATCTTTTCGTGTGTACCATATCTTACTGACTTTTTTGAATGAAACTTTGAATTTTGAAAACACTTTTGCAGTATTAGGTTATTTTTTGGACTTTGTTATTGATAAATAACTTCTATTTTCTATATAAAATAATAAAGTATACTTGTTGCAGAAATTTTATACTATCCTTAAATGTTTGTGAATTTTTTAAAGTTATATTGCGAAAAATTTACTATTTAGTGCCAGAACAAAAAAACGTTTAACAGCTTAAGAATTTATGTTATTAAAATTTTTGGGCGATTCTATGTATAAGAATATCATAACATTTGAAAAAAACATGGATGTATGCGAAAAAAAGATGCAACAATGCTGCATTTACCGCAATGACGATAAGGACAAAGTGTGTAGTCGTAACTTTGATACTTTTTGTTCTATAGAAAATTTTCTTTACTTATAGCATACGGTTTCTAACCTGGAGCCAAATAGTTTATATGAACTCCACATTTTATAGACTCATCAAGATCTATGTTAACAAGTTTCCAGATCAAAATAGAGAGTTAGATACTCTTGAAGGAAGCGAAACTGCAAATATTAAATAGTATTTTGCACAAATGATGCCTAAGAATTATTTCTTTTATAACGAGATTCTACACACTGTGATCCTATAATAGATTTAAGTGAACTGACATTTAATGAACAATACCACTATATTCTACAAGTGATATTGGATATATTATATAAATGTTTGAGTTCAGTAATGGTCTCCATCAGTATATCTAGATAAAGCAATATTCTTCCGCAAATTATTTTGGATTACCGGAAGTTCGCCAATAAGACTTTCGCCAATAGGACATTCGCCAATGGCGAAAGTCCAGGGGTATATTGGCGAAATTCTACTGTACTTTCGCCAATTGGCGAAATTCTGATGAGTGTGTTGGCGAAAGTATAGTGGACTTTCGCCAATTGGCTAAAGTACAGTAGACTTTCTCCAGCTGTCGCGAAACAATATTAATACAGGGTACATCTAAGGGATGAAGCTACAGTCTGTCGAATTCAAGAATTTCTGAATCCGAACCCGATTGATGAATCTTTTAAGAGAAAAATTGAAAGAAATCCCAAAAAGGTTATTATATACATGAGATATTTCTTTGGATCTGGATCCGATGAGTAAAATTTTCCGAACCCGGACACGAACTCAGTGATTACAAAGCTTTCAGGCCCGGATCTGGTCGGGTTCGGGTCCTAGTACATCCAACGGGCTCTAGTTGGAGCTAATGTTGTTAGAATATTTATCATAGCTTACACTCATCAATATAGCCGACAGGAATATTCGAATCCACATCTAGTTCACAGTCAAATTGGTGAAAGTGCGCTTTACTTCCACCAACTGGCGAAATTCCAGAGGGTGCATTGGTGAAAGTCCAGGGGCTGTACTGGCGAAAGTACAGTGGACCTTCGCCATTGGCGAGAGTCCTATTTGATGAAAGTCTTATTGGCGAAGTTCTGGAATCCCATTATTTTTTATATGAAGAAGTTAAGAAAAATAATAATAAATCTAACTGGAATGACCAGTTGTTGTCTTCAGTCCAATTTTGATATTCAATCTATGAAGGTTCAGGCATTTTTCGGTTTAATACTCGATAATAAATTTGTTCGTATCGGTTCACCATCGTTTCACGATTAAATTCTGTTCTCGCACGAATGAGACACTGGCGTGACATTTGCTGCATCAGTACTTTATCGGTCAATAATTGAATCGTATATTCTGCCATTGTCTTCGTATCTCCAATAGGTGCTAGAAAGCCAGTTTCTCCATGAATAACTAATTCTGGGATCCCGCCTGCTATTGATCCAACAGTCGGTACACCACATGCCATTGCTTCGAGAGCTACGAGTCCGAAACTCTCTTTTTCCGACGGTAATAATAATACATCAGCTAGCGGAAAAGTATGCGGCATACTAGCTTCTTTCGAAAGGAAATGCACTTGCTTCTCTGACTTCAATTCATGTAGTCGCTTTTGACAATCGCGCATGTCGGGTCCTTCGCCAACTAATAATAATCGTGTCGATGGAATCTTTTGGTTTACAAGTGCGAAAATGTTAATCACATCAATGGCACGTTTTACTGGCCGAAAATTAGAGGCATGCAATAGAACTTGATCTTTCCCAATGCCCAATTCTGCACGTAATCGGTCATTGTTTCTTGGATGAAACAGTCGTTCATCAACAAAATTATATGTTAAGTCAATGTTGCACATATTGTTGTCTAATTTTTGAGCTTCTTTTACTAAATCTTTTGAAACAGCAGTAACTGCATCACTTTTCTTGATTGCTAAACATATCAAATCTTTGAAGGTTGGATCCACTCCAAGTATAGTAATATCAGTTCCATGTAATGTTGTGACTATTTTTAAATGATCACCCACTATTTGTTTAGCTAAAAATGCACAAACTGCATGTGGCATGGCATAATGCACATGTATCAAATCAAGTTGTTCCATCTTAGCTACTTCTGCAATTTTGTTGGCAAGTGCCAAATCATAAGGTGAGCCTTTGAAAACAGGATAATCAGTTACTTCGACTTCATGATAAAAAATATTTTCTGATAATTTATCGAGACGAAATGGTACGCCATGTCCAATAAAATGCACTTGATATCCCTTGTCGGCCAACAACTTCCCGAGTTCTGTGGCTATTACACCAGAGCCACCCATCGAAGAAAAGCAAACCATGCCTATTTTTAATTTTTCGTCCATCACGCAGGAGTGCTTTTTTTTGTACTAGATCTTGAAAGAGAGAGAGATCAATAGATGTAGCAAGCATTTTCAAGAGGCATGCCTCGCAAAAATTAGATCGTCTTCCTTCCTTTTTAGTATCTGAAACGATAGTCCATGTTAAAAAAAAAATGAATTCCAACTTTCAAACCTGTACGTTGTACCTCTTTTGAGTTCTCAAAAACGGATTGAAATAGAGTGGGGGTGAACAAGAAACTCGAATGTCGTATCAATACACTCAAATGAGCACTGATTCATGACGGAATTCCAAATATCTAGTGCTCGATAGGTAGCGCCTCCATAGTTCGATTTGTTATGATAATCGTTCATACGATTTCGAATTTCAGACTTCTTACGTCTTAGACTAGCAATGTGAGATATGTATAAGAATACGTTGCCATACATCTTGGAAGTCATCGTAAATAAAATGAATATGAATCCTTGTTTGTCGAAAAAGTCTTGTTCACTTCTTTTGTGAGAACTCAGGATGAATGCAACATACTTGGTTGAAAGTTGGAATTCATCAGTTCCTAAATATGAGCTATCATTTTGGATAACATGCAGAAAGGAAGGGAGAAATTAATTTTTACCCAATATAGCAATGGTCGATGATCTCGTGGACGCTCTCTTAATTAGACAAGAGAAACAGTATAAAACGTAGCGATAGTATTATTTAATTCGAATTCGATGAACATAAAAAGAAAGCATTGATTAGCGTATAGATATTTCTGGTGAAAATATACTACTTTATACAAGATTTCAAAGGTCAATGTAAAAACTTTCAGGAAGTAAAACTCAGTATTCTAAGATTATTCGTAAAATGATAATTTAAAAGACG